ATGAGCCAGGAGGAGTGGTTTCCAATCCTAGTTCCACCCGTTAGGAGCTGCGGGACTCTGCGCCTCATCTGTGGAGTGACGCAGGCCCCTCCCTCACTGTGCTGGTGAGAGGTACGCATGCTGCCGGGCAATCTGCCTGAGTGTTGGGTTATTTGAATTTCAATTTCTCCCTCTTGTCTACTTTTTCTCCTGAACAAAGTAGAAAATGAAGGAAAAACAGATTGGGTGTTAAATTCTCACGTGTTTTAAAAATGGTAAGGCTTCTCTTTAATTTTCCCCTTTCCCTAAACAGGCCACCACTCACCATCCCGTCACCAGCGCCATTCAATTCTGCTGTGACCTGTGGCCTGATCTCCACGCAGCCCCTCCCAGCTGATTTTTCCCAGCCAGTACGAGGCACCAGGGTGTTCTGCCTGAACCTTCACAATAACCTCCTCACCAGTCTCACTGCTGCCATTCCTGGCTCCATAAAATCTGCGCTTTCAGAGAAGCCAGTGCGATCTTCCCACATAGAAATGAGAGTATGGCACCACCCAGCCGCAAAACTCCCCAGAGCTTCCCAGAACACTTTGAAAGAAATACAAAGCCCTTGCCTGGCCCTGCCTCTCCCTGACCTCAGCCTAGACTGGCTCCACACCTTCCTCTTAGCCTCAGCCATGGGCCACACAGGCTGGCCTTCCTTCTGTTCCTCAAACAAGCCCTGCACTGCCTACCCCAGGACCTTTGCACCAGCTCACCGTGGCTTGAGACGCTCTCTCTTCCGGCCCGTATTCTCCTTCACAATTCAACCAAATCCTCACTTCCTAAGTAGCCACTTTGATAACTTAGTCCCAATCCAGCACTCTCCAGTCCTCATCATTGCTCACCATTTGAGTTAACACCCATCTGCATCTTGTCTTCTTCATTTTCATTTATTTCTTTGTCTAATTTTCGGGGGCCACCTTTCATGCCTAGCCGTGCTCCCTGGGAGCACAGCTCCTATTTTCTCTCTGCTTATCCTCAGTGCCTAGAATGGTGCCTGGCCCAGAGTAGGGGAGCAAACAATATCTGTGAAATGGATGAAAATGTACAGGCAGAGGCAGCACCTACATGTGGCCCTTCATGAAGAGCATGCATTGTCAGTATATTCTCCATCTTCGCAAATGTGGGAAAGCTCACTGCTGATGCCCTCCCCCCACCCTGCGGTAACTAACCCAGCTTCTACCTGCTCCACTGGCCTCTCCTCTGAGGATAACTTCTCGTCAGGGCTTCAGATGGCCTCATTTTGGGAGGAGCATTTTACTTAGCTCAAATATGTCTCTCTTTTTTATCTGACGATTCTTATTTATTTATTGTTTTGAGATGGAGTCTTGCTCTTGTCACCCAGGCTAGGGTGCAATGGCGCAATCTCGGCTCACCGCAACCTCTGCCTCCCAGGTTCAAGTGATTCTCTGCCTCAGCCTCCCAAGTAGCTGGGATTACAAGTGCCTGCCATCACGCTCGGCTAATTTTTGTATTTTTAGTAGAGATGGGGTTTCACCATGTTGGCCAGGCTGATCTTGAACTCCTGACCACAGATGATCTGCCATCCTTGGCCTCCCAAAGTGCTGAGATTACAGGCATGAACCATCATGCCTGGCCTATCTGTCATTCTTAAAGCCACCAAAAGGAAAAAAAAAAAAAATGTAATCACTTTTTCATGTCTTCCAGATATCTATCTATATATATAGAGAGAAAGACCTTAGGTAGGTAATTTAACTTTGCTAAATAAGGTATAAACAAGATTGTCTTAGCTCTGCCGCCAATCTTGGAAGATCACTTACCTTCTCTAGACCTCAATTTCTTCAGCCCTAAAAAGAAGGTATTGATACTAGGGGAATGACTGAATGAATTTTGATAAATGTGTACATTCGTACTAAGGAAGGTCATTAAATAATTTTAAAAAATGAATGACAAGGAAAAATGGTTAAGGTAAATTCAGAGCTCCAAAATATTAATATATTTCAAATGATGTAGATAACTTTAAAAGTATTTGGGAAAAATCAAATGATCAGAAGTACATTTAAATGTTAGAGAATTATGCGTGGTTTTTATTTATTTTCCCTTCTTTTAATTCTCTAAATTGTAACCAGTAAGTATATAAAATGTTCACAGCACTGCTCCTTTCCCAAATTAATAAACCTAAAATGAGGAAGTCAACCAGATAATGTATAAGTTCCCCTGTTGCCCTGCTAGTTTGGGTTGTAGCTTTATTGCATGCACTTCTCATATGGGGATGGGGCAGGGCCAGGGAAGGGACTGACCCAGGCTGGGCCTCTCAGAACACTGCATCCCCGGACCCCAGGGCTGTATTTGGGATGTGTCTGGGAGCCAAACGAGGCCAAACAAAGGACCCGAGGATTTAGCGTGAACTCTAGGGAAAGGGGTCCTCTTTTATCACTGGAGTTACTAATGAGAACTGTCAGAGTTCTCTCTGACAATCCATGGAGAGTGTTTGGTTGTATGAAAGAGAACTCAGAAAAAAAAGCAAACTTGAGGAGTAGAGAAAATATGAACAAAAAACAATACTTATATTTGTTGACTTTATTCAGCCCATGGGTCCAGCTGGGTCAAAGTTGTGCTTGATCTTTCTGGTCACCTGACCCGATACATTTCCTCTCTTGCCTAAACTAGTGTGAGATGTGTCGGACACAACCCAAAGACTCTGCTCATGGGCACAGTTAGGCATCCATGCTGTTCCAGCTTTGCCTTTGTAGCAATCTCTGCTCAAAGGATGGTCACGTCCAACAGGAAGAACCATAGAGGCTGTGGTCCTCCTTGTCCTGCCGCATGGCTAATTAGAAACACGACCTGCATGCACCCAGGCTCCACCAGGAAGATCTCCTCACTGCCTACACCAGAGGGCCTCAGGCTTCCATTCTGGGACAAAGTCAGCGCCTTAAAAACCTTTTTGTGTAAATTATCCAAGTCCTAAAACAACATACCGTCATCTGGGAGCAAATCAGTGCTGAAATAAATAACCCAACAATGCAACTGATCCTCACTGAGTGCTTGACCTCACTGTCTACCCCACCATTCAATCTCACTTCCATTGTGAGACCACGGTTCAGCCTCCACCCCATCCAGCATAGCTCACACCAAGGCTGGTGCCTTGCAGGAGCAGGGCGCCTTCACCTGTGGGCATCTCTCTCCCTGCAGTGAGCCCAGAGCACCCGTGTCCCCCATCCCTTGAGCTGCAGCCTCCCTGAGATCCCCAACGCTGGTGTCTGGGCTCTGGGCTTCTGCTTTGTTTCCTGGTTGTTGTTGTCATCTAGAGCCACAATCTTCTTAAGGACCATGAAACTCTTGGAAGCCCCCTGTCATCTTCCCAGGAACTGGATATTCTTTCTTCCTCCCTACAGTTGGACAAGTTTCTCCCTCCTGTGAGCCAGGCACTGCACTAGACTCTGAATATATCAGGATGTGATACCACAGTCCGTGCCTTCAAGGAGCACAGGTGAGTGGGGCAGGGTGTAGACAACGGCAGTACAATCTTAGTGATAGATACAATGCTGGGTGTTTTTAGGACAAGAGAGAAACACCTAAAAGAGCCTAGGGAGCTGTTTTGAAGGAAGCAGGAGCTCAGCGTAGCCTTAAACAATGAATACAAGTCATTCAGGTCACTGGAGGGGGTGCCCAGCTTCAGCAGAGGCATGAAGATGAGAAATATTGGGAAGCAAGCAGGAAAATACAAACAATAGTTGTCACGGAAGCAATGAAGCAGGGCATCTCACAAAATAAGGCCAGAAGGGAATATAGCAGCAAGAGAGTGGAGATCACGTACTCCAATATCAATGCAGTCAGGCAAAGGAGGAAGCTCGACAGGGCCCCCAAGGAAGTGAGGGAGGCAAAGGAGATTTAATCAGGAAGCTAACACGGTCCTATTTGTCTTCTGGATGTAACCGTTTGGTATTGAAACAAGAACATCTGCCTGACTGCGAGCACCGTGTTGTCTCTTAACACCAGAACCTGCCCAGTGGATCAGTCATCCTGGAGGTTGACTCCAACTGGGGAATGGCTCAGAGTCATCAGAGCCATTTGGTCATCATGACAGGGCTTCAGCCATACTGTTCCAAATACGCCCTCATCCCAGAGCCTGAGATCACTCCCGGTCTCCTCTCCAACCCTTAGACCTGTCGCTGGGGTCTGACATCCACAAAGCTAAGGCCACCAGGGCTGGCACCTGCTGAAGTGCCCACCGTGAGCCTAAGATTGACTCACATCTGCACTGAGTCACCACACAACACAAAACCTGGCTGTATTCATTTTACAGGGCTCTGAATGGGTAGCTGACTTCACTGAGACTGTAACCTAGATCTCACGGCCTTTCCAAGTTTACATCTGCATCTTATCATCACCTTTTCTGTCTCAAAGCACCGAGTCCGTGGGTAATTTTTAGGTGTGTCAAACACCAGGCCTTGTGCCAAGGACTCAGCAAACGAAGGTAAATAGGGCACAATTTTACCCCTAAAGAGCTTCAACCTGTCATGGCAAATTCATAACCATCTTTTTCAATGGAGAGCAGAAACACCAAGAGGTTATGTGATTTGCCCAACACCACAGGGCTTCCTGGTGCTGCTAGGACAGGTTCTGAACTCGAACTCAGCACTCCAGACCCCCTGGAATAGTCCACTGCCAGCATTCCGTGATGAGTTCACAGACTACGGAGAGGAATCACCTCTGGGGACCTGCCGAGCAGACTCAGGGCAGTTGCGGACACATCCGAGAGTCAGAGCTAGATTTCTCCTGAGCTGGATCCTCTCTAAAGCCATCTCCCCGATTTTAGAGGGGGCTTTAAGACCCAGGTGCATGATCAGCCTAGCTCTTGCTTTTCAAAAAGGAATTAGGGAAATGCCAAAAGACTCTCAGCAAATCAATCTGTCTGATAGCAGTGTCCAGCCTGGCAGCCGGACTTGTTCTCATGCACACGGCAGAGACCTGCACCAGACGACCAGCATCCGAACCCCCGAGCCTCGTCTCACCTGAGCAGGGCTCCCTTTGTCACCGTGTCAGCGGCTCCGAGTCGTGAAGGTTCTGTGCTTCCAACGAGGCTCGTCTGGGAGGCATCGGCACAGCTTTTAGCTTCCTTTAGTGAGGCAGTCGTCAAAGCACTGCCGGGACTGCAGAATGAAATCTGGATTTGAGAACCCTCTGCAGGGCTGCCAGGGGTGCTTGGCACTGCCTGGCGCCACCAGCCGGTCCAGCTCCAGCCAGACTGCTGACCTGGCACTGGCGCTGCATGATATAACTCGCTCTCACGGGGAAGCTTTAACTGTCTCTTCCCCAAGCTCGGAGTCCTCCCGTCTCTGTAGGATGCATCTGGTCTGTGTTGCCCCTCTTTCGACACTCCGGGCTCCTCTCTGCCAGGGTTCCAGCCATTCAGGGACTCACAGCCCGATCCCTGCAAACACACCAGCCAAGAATTCATCATTTTTAGCAAAGTAATTATTAATCCCAAGGCTTCTGTTGAAGTCCTTCTCTTTTATTAGTGCAGCCAATTAAAATATATTTAAGCATAAAGATATTTATAAAGATTCTAGTGTTTTTCCATAAATACCTACCGATTGAAGTCATTTTATTTTTTAAAAAAATCCAGCAACTATTCCCTTATTCCTGTATAACACGTTGTTCTCATTTAATTTATATGACTTTAAGACTCCATATGGAAAGGATATAGTTGACTGGGGAGACATGGATACAAAAAAAAAGTAACCATGTAGGAAATTAATAATGTACATTGGAATATTAATTATGTTGTTGGAAGAATGCAAGAGACACATAAGAGCATAGAACTGAGACTAAGGAGACCTGGAGAGCTGGGTTCCAGTTCCAGAAATAACACTAAATTAACTTTAAAGATGTGTGCAAGTTACTTGGTGCCTGGACGTCAGTATCTCCCTGGCTTTCAAGCAGTTAGTTTGGTTGATTGCCAAAGTTCTTCCCAGCATCACCATTCTAATACATTTTTTTAAGCCAAAACACATATACCTGTGGTTTTTAGAGGAAGTGTAATACAGCCATTAGAATCACTGAAGACTCACAGGCTTCTAATCCTCACTGCCCCTTCTTAGCTCTGTGACCCAGACAAATTGTCTAAACAGTGGACACCTCAGTATCCCCGATTACAAGACGGGAGAACATTTACTGTTACATGAGCTGATGCAGTTGCTGTTAAGAATTAAATGAGTTAATGTATGCAAAACCAGCTGGAACATTGCTTCATCCATGATTTTGCACAATAAATGTTAACTGTTAATACTCTATTCAATGGTCCTAATTCTACCACAACTATCTTACTAACTTACTAGCTCACCAGTACTGGAGATGCAGTACTTGTTATATATATGTGGGATTCATAGTCTTCATGACAAAGAGTCCTGCCAATGCTTTCAAAGATAAGGCCACATCTCTGTGTTAGAAGACAGATTTTTGGCTTAGGGTAAAAAAACATTTATTGAACACGTATTGTATGCCAGAGTACCCTCTAAAGCATTTTTTCTATATTATCTACATGTTTCAGGGCACTATGTAAACTGTACTCTCTTTTATTAACAATTTAAAATACTCTCAATTATAAAACAAGGTGATTCCAATGCATAAAATTTAAATACTTTGCCCAAAGCTATAGATGTGGTTAGTGTTAAATCCAGGAATCAGGGAGTCTAACTCAAAGTAATTCATCACGTGAATTACCCAAGCTAAAGGGAGATTCAAGTGTATACTGCTCGGGTGATGGGTGCACCAAAATCTCACAAATCACCACTAAAGAACTTACTCATGTAACCAAATACTACCTGTTTCCCAAAAACCTATGGAACTAAAAATAAAATAAAATAAAATAATAAAGGGGGAAGGCAAACAAAGTAGAAACTGAAAAGAGACTTTATAGGAGGGCAAGAGAAATTGGTCTTTTTGTCTTCAGTCTCTCAGCTCCAGCTTTTTTTTTTTTTTTTTTTTTTGAGACAGGGTCTCACTCTGTTAGCTGAGCTGGAGTGCAGTGATACAATCATGGCCCACTGCAGCCTCAACTTCCCAGCTCAAACAATCTTCCCACCTCAACCTCCCAAGTAGCTGGGATTACAGACACCATCATAGCTGGCTTACTTTTAAATTTTTCTTTTATAGAGAAAAGATCTTCTTATATTACCCAGGCTGGTCTCAAACTCCAGGGCTCGAGAGATTCTCCCACTCTGACCTCCCAAAGTGCTAGGATTACAGGTGTGAGCCATACTGCCTGGCCCCAACTTTTTATTGGTGTGTGGACACTCTAAGAAATTTTAAAGTATGAGTCTCCAAAACATGTATTGATATATACATTACATATACCTCACACTAAATAGTAATAATAGTAGCAACAACAATAACTGAGGACGGAAACTTAGAAGGAAAATGTCTCTCTTCCATCAGCCCCTTTCAGGACCACACCACTGATTCCTACTGAGAAAGCCTAACATTCTACCAGCTGACAGAGAGGAAATGTTTACAGGGCCCAGCTGCAAGATTTCACAGCAGGGTGAGAAGGGTGGATTTAGAGCTGAGAGGCAACCAATTGATGAGGGGAAGAGAACATGTAGATGACAGAAGGGTCTTCACCTCCCAAGAAAAGTCAGGATCCACAGCTGGCCTTAGAGGTTTTCTATTTTAATATTAAAATAAAGTAAAGCCTCCTTTTCTCCATGAATCTATCTGTCATTCATTAAATCAAAAATTTACATTGAAATTTTGAATAAGATGGCTGCAGTGCTGAATATCCTTTATAGATATCAAAAGATGCCTTAATGTCCATCTTAGGTGTTCATTCCCTGGTAAAGGGGATCTCCATTTCCTTCTAATCAGTTCCTACTAGTTCTTGGCATTATTAAATGTATATATTTCAGTCTATGTTTTTTATATGATTTTGCACAAGCTGTTCCCCTGTCTATAGAACTTTTTACGTGAAGTCTAGGTCAGTTCATGACTCCCACCCTATTCCATCTCTATTTGTTCTACACATTTAGATTATTACATTTAAGTCACCCTGTTCTAATCATTTATTTACCTTTCTATTTCTCTTGTAATAGTCTCTTAGTGACAAAAGCAGTGTCTTAGTCATCTTTGTTTCCCTGAATTTTAATCCAATGTTTCTAAACCTTTGCACAGATTGAAATTTGTGAGTAGGTCATTCTTCTTTGTAGGGGAACTGACCTGTGCATTGTAGGATTTTAGCAGCATCCCTGGCGTCTACCCACTAGATGCCAGTAACATCCTCCTAGTTGAGCCAACCAGAAACCTCCCCAGCCGTTGCTCAGCATCTCTCGGGTGGTGAAATCAATGCCACTAGAGAATCACTACGTTAGTACGATTACTAGGTCAGAATTAATACTAGACAAAGTGGTCATTGAAAAAAATATCAAATTACAATAGAATTCATTAAATATAACATAAACTGCAGTCATTTGACAACTAATATGTCTCAATTTATTTCTGTAGGAAAAAGCAAACTACAAATTCATTTATTTATTCATTTAATTAGTAAATTGAATGAGCATACTGACTACTTATTCCATTTTAAATGTTTTCCTAACCCTGAATGTAGAGAGGTAAGAAAATTAAATTTCTGTCCTTACTGGGGTTATCTGATAAAAAGTCTTTCACCTACACACACAAAGATACATATATTCGCAGCTAACAAATCCAGCCATCCATCTATGCATTTATTAATTTATTTCACAAATATCTGTTGCTCCTGCTTTGTGCTGGACACCACCATGCCTGTGCTAGGGACATAGAGCTTTATAAGACACAATTCCTGTCTTCAGGCAACCATAGGCAAAGAAAATCTAGTAAACAATTGTGTGCAAGAAAATATTTATTTATGCAATAAACGTTTAGGCACAGTGCTACCTACTGATATGATATTGAGCAAAGTTGATACAGTCTCATGCAGCTGTCTAGGAATGAAGACAGACATTTGGCGAGAAATAAGGAAGAACATTCTAGTAAAAGTGAGAAGGACCACGAAAGTCTAGGGTGGGTCCACCTGTCTGAGATCAGGCAGTATTTGCAGTGATTTTAACGCATGCCCATCAGTTCTCTGACACTCCTCCCACAAAAAGTGGGGTCTATATCACCTCATCTTAAATTGACTTGAATGACTCACTTCTAATAGGATGTGGCAGAAGTGGAGCCACGTGACTCCTGAGGTTAGACGTAAAAGTTAGTATGGCTCTGCTTGGCTTTCTCTATTTTGGGACTCACCATGAAACTCAGCCAGGATACTGTAAGAAAGTTCAGGCCACGTGGCTAGGCCATGTGTAGGCATCCCAGCTGACAGTCCCAGCTGAGGCCATAGCCAGTGACTCCATGAGCCACCAGACATGTGAGCGGATGAGCTTTCTCACAAGTCCAGCCTTCAAGTTGCCCTGCCTAGGGCTAAATGGAACAGAAAGGAGCTATCCTCATCAAGCCCTGCCCCAACTGCAGATTTGTGAATAAAAGAAATATTATTGGTTTAAGCCATCAAGTTATGGGGTGGTTTGTTATGCAGCCATAGTACCTAAACAATATCATGGTTGGATTAAAAGTTGCCCAGCTGTGGTGGGCACACAAAGTCTGTATTGAGTAGTTCAAAAACGATTTCATGAGTTGGTGATATGAGTCTTGTCTTGAAATATGAATGCGTGTGCCAGTGAGTATTAGCCAGGCAGAAGAGGGCAGAAATGAAGATAAGAAGTAGCACGCCTATTCTTTGAAGTGTGAGCATTTCAGTTTGGTCAGACCATGGAGGGCAGCACTGGAATGGAAGAATCAAAATAAAGAAAGTTAATTTGTTAGCTTTATTTAACATCAGTACGATTAGTTTGTTGACTAACAAAATAAAGCCAGATTCAAATATGGAAAGCCCTTACAACTAGTTTTACTATTATGACAAAATACACAAAATATAAAATGTATCATTTCAATAGGGTACAATTCAGTGGCATTCAATCCATTCAGAATGGTGTGTAGGCAGCCATCAGCACTACTGAGCCCCAAAACATTTCCATCACCTTCAAAAAAAATTCTTATATCTGTAAAGCAGTCACCTTCCCCAGTTGTCCCTGGTAACCAATAATCTTTTTTCTTTCTCTTTGAATTTGTCTGGATACTTCATTTATAATTGACCCTCTAACAATGTAGGGGTTAGGGGTGCCAACTCCCTAAAACTTTTTACAGCCAGAAATCTGCATATAACTTTTGACTCCCCAAAAAACTTAATTCCTAGTAGCCTATTTTGACCAGAAGCCTTACTGATAACAAAGTCAATTAACACATATTCTGTATATTATATATATATTACCTATGGTATTCTTACAATAAAACAAACTAGAGAAAAGAAAAATGTTATTCAGAAAATCACAAAGAAGAGAAAATATATTTACTCTTCATTAAGTAAAACTGGATCATCATAAAGGCCTTCATTCTTGGTGTCTTCAGATTGAGTAGGCT